GTATGATTGTGATGTGGGTGGGTGTAGATATTATGTATGCAGGTATGCATGGTTGTATGTATGTATGTGGGTATCTGTATGGGTGATTGTATGTGTGTCATGTATGTGGGTGTAAGTATGCATGCATGTTTGTATGTATGCATGTTAGTGGAAATATGTATGCATTTGTAGCTGTGTAAGTATATGGATGTATGTGTGTGTATTTTGGTATGAATACAAGTATGTATGTACATGTGTAAAGATGTAGGTGTATGTACAGATGTATGCATGCATGTATGCATGCATGTGAGTGTAAATGTGTGATTGTATGTGCGTGTATGCATGCATGCATGTGTAGTTGTGTATGTATGGAATTTGTGTGTGCATTTATGTCCATATATGTTTGTGTTTGTCTTCTCTGTTTGTGTATGTATGTAGATTTATGTATGTATGTTCTGTTTGTGTATGTATGTAGATGTATGTATGTATGTATTAAGTATGTCAGTAAATGCGTGTGCATGTATGAAAATGTAAGAGTAGATATACGTGTGCGTGAGTGTGTAAGATTGTGTACACATGATGTGTGTATGCATTATTCTATAATGTATATTCCTTATTATATCCATAACATGCATTTTAGATAACAGGCAGTGGTACTCTGAAAAATTAGTGCGTAGAAGGGCCGAATGTCAGACGGGCCTGCGTGCCCAATTTGTAACCCGTTGAAAATAAAGTTTGTTCGTTTGTTCGTTCTCATACTGGATGATGTGACGTTATAGTGAGGCTCTCTGTTTTCAAAGAATGTCCATCAACCTGTGGAATAAAACCGTACTTACTCTTTTTACTCCACACTACAGGCACATCTCCGTGTATAGAACGATGTCTCCTGGGTATAGAAGGTTCAGCTCTCCGACAGCTGCTCTGTTTTACAACTGGAAGTTATCCGCGGGCCACTTGCTAGACCTCCTCGGGCCACATGTGGCCTGATGGTCACCAATTGAATAGCCCTGACCTAAGGCCTCATATAAAGGGTGTTCCCTGTCCGTCGCGACTTTAATGTATGTTTTTTCCTCTAACTCATTGTATCTTTCTTATAGGACGACAAAACAAGTATGCACTTCATGCATACGATTGGCGTATTCCGTGTACATCCCAAACTGACTCACACGGCTTCATTGTGCCTGCGTTTTAACTTATCTATTTGGCTGTTAGATAACATGAGCAGGCCAAGACCATACTCAATCACTGACATCAGCAGCTGCTGGTAGAGTGTGCGGAGTGTGTAGAGCATTCTCTGTTGCAAGTCCGCTGGTGTCATCGTGGATGCCATCACCTTCAGCGCAGGAAGTCCTGTCCTTATCTCTAACACTACTCTTCCCCGTGGTACTAGAACGACAGGCTGTTGTCAAAATGCATGCCAAAATGTTTTTGTGAATTCTGTCTGTTTATGTTACTAACATTTATTGTGATGTTCGGAAGCTCGTCTCTAAAAGTTATTTTATTTGATGAACACCACAACATTAACGTCTTATCTGGCTTTATGATGGAAGCTATGCTATCTTCGTTACCTTGTTTACCGCGGTCTGCAGTTCTGTAGATATTTCTGTTCTATTTCTTCTCTGCCTGTAGACTGAAACGTCATCAGTAAAAAGTGAAAATTCTCCCTATGCCTGCTGCCTTTGTTGCCGCTATCCAGCCTGTGTATATATTGACAGGCACAGGGCAAATAACCACCCTATGGGAGGCCAAGTTTGGTACTACAGGGTTCAGAGCTCCACACACCTAGGTAAGATATTCACAATCAGTCAGCCAGTCCGTCATCCAATCATTCTCAGTCATGTACCCAACAAAATAATGAATCAGTCAGCCAATCACTTACCCAACAAACCCATGAAGCAATCAGCGAATCACTTACCCAACAAACCAATAAAGCAATCAGCGAATCACTTACCCAACAAACCAATAAAGCAATCAGCGAATCACTTACCCAACAAACCAATGAATCAGTCAGCCAATCACTTACCCAACAAACCAATAAAGCAATCAGCGAATCACTTACCCAACAAACCAATGAAACAATCAGCGAATTACTTACCCAACAAACCAATAAAGCAATCAGCGAATCACTTACCCAACAAACCAATGAAACAATCAGCGAATCACTTACCCAACAAACCAATCAAACAATCAGCCTCTCACTTACCCAACAAACCAATGGCCCAGCAAACTAAAAAATTATCTAGTCAAATTATACTGTTTAAAAAAAACAGTCATCCGACGGCGTGTTTTTATTAGGTTGCATAGTGTAAAACTTTGTATAGTTTCTCTGTAAAACAGCATATTTCTTTAGTTAAACTTAGTATAGTTCCTCAGTTAAACTATCAGCGAAGCAACTAACCAGTCAGTTTCTCATCTACTAGCCAACTATGGATTCAACCATACACAAGCTAATATATCACCCAGTTAGCTAAACAGTAAGGCAACCAGACGGCCAATCAAGTTTTACTGACGTGCAAACACATGAGAGAGAAGAAACTCACGGGGTAAACAGGGATGCATGATCTGGCTTTGTCTCAGTTGGAACGACTTGCAGGAGGTGTGGTTCCCTTGTCCAGTTATAACGTGTGTCTTCAGCTGTGAGAAAAGGAAAGGGAAAGGGGTGGGCAAAGAGATTTATCTATCAATGATTCAACAAGTAATGATCGCGACAACTAAAAACGTTTTTGGGGGAAGGGGGGGGGGGGGGTAGTAAAAAAATGTCGTTAACTTGTCTAACAGTAACGAGTGAAAAACAACAACGAAATTTGTGAACTATTAATTACTAGCATAATGAGGGTTACAAGTCTCCAACGGCTGGGATACATGCAATAGAATAACAGAGAGACCAGAACTGCAAACAAAATAGAACGGAGTAGACCAAGAGTATGGTGCCAGGATAATATCCAAGCAGGCTCACAGACACATGGTCACCAAGAAGAAACACAAGGACAGTCACAGAGATCAATCGAGGCCGGTGATATCCGCAGTAAATAATCCCAGAGGCTCAGAAAGCTGAAGAAGAAGATGTACACACTACCTACTGTGGTAAATTAGCTAATGTGAGTATTTGTTTTTGAACGTTCTGTTTGAGCACATTTCAGAACTTGGTGAGCATCTAATTAATCTTCATTAGGAAACATCTTTCTCTGTATTGCCAGAGTTCTGACCATCGATTCGAAGCTTAAGTTATCTGTCACTGCCATTAAATCATGTCACGATTATCGAATCACCCGTTCCTCTTTGAAAAAGCTTCTTACTCACAGCTTAGGCTTTCCAAGCCCAGTAGGAGTCAATGTTCAGTATATCAAAATCTATTTTTTTTTAATCTTTAAAATTAATTTATTGACTTTTTGCCCATTTAGTTCTTTCTGTTTTCGTTTATATTTTTTTTCGCACAGGCTCATAAATATGATGAAACCAAACTAAACAGCCAAATGGGTATTCTATTCGTAAAATGCTGAAAATATCACGACATTTAAATAAAGCATTTCACTGAGAGAGAGAGAGAGAGAGAGAGAGAGAGAGAGAGAGAGAGAGAGAGAGAGAGAGAGAGAGAGAGAGAGAGAGAGGGAGAGAGAGAGAGTGGAAGGGAGAGAGAGAAGGAGAAAAAAAAAGGGGGGGGGGAAGAAGTAATGTTCGATCTATTAAGGAAAGTAACTTACGTTCGCGAAATCGCTGACGGTCCGGACCCCAGTCACAGCAGACACCTCGACCCAGAGCTCTTTTTTGAAATCCACGTAGATGGTGCCCTTGTCCTGTGACACATACATTATCATTCTAATGATTAACAGAATTTCCAACAACCATAAAACAATAACAACAAAATGGCATCAATATTGTCATTATAAAATCAACAAAATCGTCTTGAGGGCGTCAAGTCCTGTGTGTCTATCACGCCTGTAAGCATGAAAAGGAGTCCTTCGGTTTTCTAGACAATTGTTCGTATCCGCATGAAAACACAAGTTACACATGACCGGTCTATCCCTAGGAGTGCCCTATATATAACTTCTTTGAAGGGCACCCCAGAATATCAAACATTGATTCCTACTGGGCTTGGGAAGCCCAAGTTAATGAATAAGGAACTTATTCAAAGAGAAACGGGTGATTTGATAATCGTGAGAAGATTGAATGGCAGTGTCAGAGATGTTAGCTTTGAATCGATGGTAAGAAGTGGAAATATAGAGAAAGAAGTTACCTAATGAAGATTAATACCTGGATCTACTTTACTGGTCTGCTGTCAGATTAAAATTCTTTGATTGATCTTAAGAGCCTTCCTCATTAAGGGATGCGAATCAGCAAAAATCTTATAACGACAGATCGTAACTGCAGTTGGATCCAAGTGGCAGAAATTCCACACCAACCCCGACGTCATGACAGCGATGACCAAATATTGCAATGGACAAAGTTCTTGGCCCCACTGTACTGCATCTGAGGTCTCGCCAAGCAGTTGGGTGGGAATACTGTAAATGCTTCTGAGGATCTCGCGTGAATGCTTGCACTTCTAGCAAGTGCTGTGTTTAATTTGCCCACAACGGCTAATATGCTTTTCTTGTGTTTGTGGTAAAGCTATTGCGTTTGACCCTGCTTTGTCAAATATTCTCAGTTTGGTACTAGATTTCATTTGATTGTAACAGATGCTTAATCTTTTTGAAGCGTTTCCTGCATGTTATAATAATTTGATGTTTTAATATATTTATCTGCCCCCGTCCAGTACCTTAGCTACACTACAGTCTCGCTATGTGTGTGAACACGTGAAGAAAAGCGAGAAGAGTCAAACAAATAAAAGCGTACAGTGAATATACAACATTACCTCATTTATCAGGTTCAAATACGCGGCCTGGTAAACTGGCGGGAAGCAGACAGTTGTGGGGTCTTGACTTCTGACCGCCAACACTGCTCCAAGAGCTACGGAAATCTGGAACAGATTCATACTAGCAGCCTTAAACAATAACTGTTGTTAAATTGCTTTAGCACCGGGTGCCTGTTTGCCCAGTTCTGCCTCTAAAACTGCAGGGTTTCGGCCAGTCAGTTGTATTTATATGCTTCTACGGCATCCTGCTATGTTTGTCACATTCTAGATATAAGATCCTGTTTCTCAAATGTTGTCAAGTTCTAAATCTTCACTTGACACTTACTGTATTCATAAGTCAGACTTTGAATTAGGGAACCTTGAAGATATCATTGGTTTGTGACTGTTTTGATCAGGTTGAGTAAACAGATAGTCATAGATGTCAATCAAACTTTTGTTATTTGGCCTTGGGAATCCTGACAACACGATAACTCCATAAAAGTTAGCTGATAACAGTTTACGTGGTAAGTCTCGTTTCCAGAAAGTTCCACTATGTAAATATATTTGAGTCTTGTTACTAGAACATTTTCCTTGGATATAATCATCGTCTTTATTGTCATTATCCTTGTTGTTACTGTCTGCGTCATGATTACTGCCACTGCTTGCTCTGTTATAGATAGACATAACAATTTTAAACACAGAGAAGCTTTAAACCGGTGCCTTTATTTGTGTACTTTTGAAAGTAGTAATGACCATCACGATATGCAATCAACGGTATATTTACTCCCACCGTGAGCCTGGGGTTTGCAAGCAGGACGACAAGTCTTGGGCACTGAACGTCGACTACCATTGTTGCCATTTGTATTAGCTGTCAACCAGCAACGAGACAAAGAGTGTTCGGCTAGCTATCTGGCAACGAAGACTGAGAATTTAACCGAGCTAAGATCTTTATTGTTTGAATATTTATTTTCTGAGAATCTTTGAATACCAGATTCTCCCTGCGTTTATTCTTAGTGGTTCGATTCGTTAACCTTTTTGTACAAGGATGTGTAAGTTCAAAAGCTGTTCACTGTCCAATCCACTCTTATCAGTCCAGTTTTGTAAACTGCTTCGAACACTGTCACATCTTTCAGCTGTCACCATCTTTGAGACACACTTTCTTTTCCTAACGTAACCAAAAACTACCATTGTCTTTGTCATTTCTATAGATCTGTCTTGATTAGTATTCTACTAAATCCTTGAGTTTCTCAACATTCTGCAGAGGAACCACATCTGAAAAGCATGTGAGGAGTTTTAAGGTTTGTGTGTCCGAACAAACAAACAATTGGTGGCCCACATACCCGAGATGCAAGAGATACTTCACATCCAAAATGTTCAGTTATCCATGGATATTTTCCACGGATGTTGTCGTGGATTTGAACAAGGTCTGACAATTAAGTAATGAAACTGATTTTATTATGGCCAAGACAAAATTGCCATCTACGAAGCAAAGCGTGGAATCTAAAAAAGGCAACCTTTATCTATGATCTGGCAACTTTTTATCTCCGCACGATAAGCAGACAACAAACAAGCCGCCGTTTTGTTGACCTAGACAGACATGCATTGTTATGTAATCAGCAGGAAGCAAAAAGCTAACATTCCATTCTGTTTAAAATTCAGAAAAGGCGCCACTGAGACGGTTGAATTGACGTGATAAGTTTATAGGAATAATTATTTATTTGGTGCACAGATTTTCTGGTGGTATTCACGACTCAAAAGTTGTGTGGAAATGATTACTAATGCAATTAAACCTGGACGCCCAATTTCTGTTTGTAACGAGGAACTCATTGCAAAAGTCACAGAACGGATATAAGAAGATCATTGTTTTACAGTCATGATGATGGCAGATGAATCTGGTGTTAATAGAGAGACCTTTCGTAAAATTTTGGTGCAAGATTTTGGCAAGGGAAAAAAAAGTTGCTTGCAGGTTTGTACTGCATTCGTTGTCTGATGACCAAAAACATCATCGGGTTGAATGCTCACGAGACATCATTAAAACAGGAATTTTTGACCCCAAAACAAGTGTTTGTTCTCAGTCATTCACCATATTCCACAGATTTGTCTCCCTTTGAATATTTTATGTTCATAAAATTAAAGTTACCATTTAAGGGACGCTTCTTTGATGACATTGATGACATCCAAGGGGCCGTAACATCGACTTTAAGGGTCATAGCATTTGAAGAAGTACACAGGTAGTTCCAGTGTTTGTTAGATCGTGCTACTCACTGTCTCAATGCACAAAAGGCTTACTACTTTGAATCAAATACAGGTTATATCTTTAACTAATAATTATTTTTGTTTTTATGAAATTAGTCTCATTACTTAATTGTCGGACCTTGCATATGGATGTCCCCGTGTAGGCTCCATTACCAAATTTTAGGGGGGGGGGGGGAGAGAACCGCTTCATCCCAAAACAAAATGTTCTAGAAAGCGATTAAGGGTGTTTCCTTACAAATCAGAGAAATGTAACTGAGATGCAATGAAACAACAGTCTGCATACACATAAACCAGATCTGTAAACGGGATGTTTCAAACTATACAAAAAACAGTGACATCCTTTCTAAAGATCCTTCAGCATGGGAAATTATCCATGCATACTACATAGACGTACAGCCTAAATATACAGTCACAACAATTCCAGGCATAGACAGAAGGGCTGAAAAATGTGACCTTGTACGGCATAAAAGACCATGGAACATATCTACAACTGTTTTCCAAAACCCGAATGGACACACGTATACACCGACAGATCATTGGAGGGAGCAGGAAAAAAAACAACAACGGAGGAGCTGGATCGGTCATCATGCTGCAAGATGAGACCACAGGAGAAACGTCATGCGCCTCCGAAAGACTCTCAACAAACTTCAGAGCAGAGCAGCAAGCAAATGTTGACTCAGCCAAACTGCTCGAGGAAAGAAACATAAAAAAAAACAGCAAAATTATTTTCCTTTGTGACTGCATGTCAGTCTATCAGGCGACTCAGATGGATCCACGAGACAACATGACTCGCCAGCTAAACAGACTCACAGATAACAATCAAATCGTTCTCCATTGGATCCCGGCTTACTGCGACATACCAAAGAATGAGTTAGCAGACAGACTTGTAGAAAAATGAAACAAAGGAGAAATAACACGCCCATTAATTGTCATTACCAGAAATCAGAACACTTATCAAGGGAAAATACAAGGAATTGTGGAAAGAACAAACTAACAGTAAACATCCACAAGACCCAATCAGCAGACTCAACAGAAAGCAACATACAACAATTTTCCGTCTACGAACAGAACACTCCCGGCTCAACTATCACATGCATAAAATAAAGATTGTACAGTCCCCACAGTGTGCCTGTCAAACAGGACCACAAACACCTGAGCACATTCTGCAGACCTGCCCACTCTACCTACAACTTCGAAAAGAAACCTGGCCTCAAGAATAAAGTGTGCAGAGCAAGCTATGGGGAACCATGAAGGACCTACTACTGACTTGTGAGTTCATAGAGGCACCCCCCCCCCCCTCGTCTCCCCCCCCCCTCCCCCCGATGGTCTGACCTAGGCATACGAAACCTAACGCAAAGAAGAAAATTTTAAAGGAGCCTGTCTATATTGACCAGGCTCTCGATTGGGCACCTTCTAGGATGACCGCGGAGATGTGTAGATAGATAGTGACCTTTTTGAGACCCTGTGGTCCAGCCCAATCATTACGTGGGGTTCAGTACCTCTGCATCCCAGGATAGTTTCAAGAAGTTTATTATCCTTATGTCTTTAGTGTGCCTGATATTGGATAGGTTTAAGAAATTTATTATCCTTATATCTGTAGTGTGCCTGATATTGGATAGGTTCAAGAGGTTTATTATTCTTGTGTCTTTAGTGTGCTGATTATTGGATAGGTTCAAGAGGTTTATTATCCTTATGTCTTTAGTGTGCCGGATATTCGATAGGTTCAATGGATTTATTATCCCTATTGTCTGTAGTGTGCCTGATATTGGATACGTTCAAGAAGTTTATTATATGTAATGTCTGTATGTCTGTAGTGTACCAGATATAGAATAGGCTCGAGAGGTTTATTATCTGTATGTCTGTAGTGTACCAGATATCGGACGGGTTCGAGAGAATGTGGTCCTTGTTTCTGGCACCTCCTGGCCCCGGATATGTCCTTGACCCGCCAATGTTTTGTGGAGCTTCTTTCACAAAGGCACCAAAAGCAGTATTCACTCAAGCATTTGCACGCAGCTTAATGTTGACAGTTTTGATAGTAGGACTGTTAGCTAGATAGATACAAGAGCGTGATGGTGGGAAAGAGTTGTAGAATGGGGCAACGGGGAGACGCATTTTGTACCACCCCACGATTGTCAGTTTGGGAATACACTATCAGTGTATTGCTGTATACATAATTACGTCACAGTTCATCATCATCAGTTTCCACTTTTGCCGTTAAGCGTTGTAGGGCTAAACAGTTTGCAATTCATTGCTTGAGGGGCAGTAATGGCTACTGTAATTCTGGGTCCACGTAGAAGCTCTTTAATGTCATCATTCCAATTCTCCTAGGGCGGCCTCTTGTTTTTAGCTCAGATCTTTTAATGCGTAGCACCTGTGTTGGTACTTGTCCTAGCTGTATTCTCACTAGATGACCAAACCATTCGATCTTCTGTTTCTCAGTGAATGTGCTGCATAGTGTTGTTTCTACAGTCTGATAATATCCTTTCTAACTTTGTCTAGGATGGTTTAATTGGCGACTTTTCTCAGGCATCTAATTTCACAGGTGTGTGTGTGTTTTTTTTTTTTTACGTAGGTCAGTTGCTCATAGTTATCTTATGTTTGTGTAGTACAGTACTACCTTAACGCGAATAGACAGCGACCGAGATAAAAAAAAATCAATGGTTCATGCTAAAAAATGTAAGCTAACCGGGGAATAATAATAACACAAAGCTGCTCAGGCCATAATATTATTCATGTTAACCAAATGTTCGTCTTAAGCTATTTCGTATTACCCATATTTTTTTTATGTCCGCCGTTTGTTGTTGTGTAGTACTTGATTATATTAACGTGTTCTCGTCTTGTTGGGTGTTCGCGCTTGAAGCAGCAACAAGTATCACATCTTTTTA